TTTGGGCTCTGTTCTTCCTAGAGGTCCAGTTGTACGTACAACAATATATTCAACCTATCCAGTACCTCATAGAAATTTTCCTTCACTTTTAGGAAGCTCTTTTCACAATGCAAGCACCTGACCGTACCAAGCAGTACGTGATCTTAAGAACAACTTGATTCTGGTAACCTCTGCAACTACACTGTCCTTTTGAAGATACGAACTTCAGCTTGATACACTTTTTTTTTATTTCTCCACGGCATTTCTTCACCCACTTTCTTTTCTTCAGAACCTGAATGGAAACAGGAGACGGCCTTGATGCTCTGTTATGACAATTTGTAATCTACTGCGTGATTCCGCTAAGCACCCTATTCACCGACAAACCGGGAAAATTCCAATTTATGAAATGGGCCCGAGAGAGTTATGAAGGATTTCTCCTCCAGATAAATGGAGACAAGTTCTTAGAAGGATCACATACTCTAGATTTCTTCTTTTCTTTAGAAGCGGTAAAGAAAAAAAAAGGGGGAAATTGTGACATAATATTTACATGTACGTTGATCCTGTTTATGTGTGCTTATAAGCTAAAGGAAGAATAAGTAGCAATAAGGGTATGGTGGTAAGGGGAGAGAGAGAGAGAGAGAGAGAGAGGAAGAGAGAGGGATCAAAATAAGAGTCAGTGAGAGAGAGAGAGAGAGAGAGAGAGGGGGGATCCAAAAAGAGTCGGTGAGAGAGAGAGAGAGGGAGACAAAGAGAGAGAGAGATAGACAGAGAGAGATAGAGAACAACAAAAAATAATTGAAAGATAGATTTATAAATAGCAAAGGAGTGATATACAGAGAAAGAAAGAGAGGAGAGAAAAAGAGAGATGAAGGAGAAAAGGAGAGAGAAGAAAGAGATAAAGAGAAGGAGAATCAGAATAGAAGTAGAGCATGTAGGAGTAAGGGGGGGGGGGGGCTTGATTGAGGTACAGAAATAAAGAGAATGAAAGAAACAATTAGGAGGGAAAATGTTTTGAGAAATTCAAAGGAGACATAAATATATAGAGAGAAAAAAAGTGAGAGATAGCAATGAAAGGAAGATAGAAAAGTAGGGAAGATAGAAAGAGAGAGAGAGAGAGAGAGAGTGAGATAGAGAGAGAGAGAGAGTTTCTAGCTGTTGCTTATTAGTGAATAGCAATAGTGATTACAAATGTCAGTTGAGTGTAATTGGGGATAATTTTTAGAGTGGCAGCGGGATGTAAAAGTAAGACATAGAACTAATGATTTGAAGCCATATGTGTATTGCATAGAGGATTATCATTATCTAAACTTGTATTATGGTTTCAAATTTGTAGCTCTTCTTTGCCGCTGTTCTTGTACTAATACCTCTCTGTAGTGTTGCTCACTTTGTAGTTTCTTGGTTTGCAATAACTTTAAACACACATGTACACAGGTTTATATGCATAAGTTGTCAACTATTGTTTTTTAATTTTGTTTCTCTTTTTAAACCTACCTGGAAACACATTGTAATGAATGTTATCAATATGTTTTTTTTCAAGTTTCTTCAGGCAACAAAAGGAGCAAACTAATACCAACACAAAATAAAATCAAAAACAAAATTATGTCACATCATTTAGGTGTCCATGTGTTCAACATTTTAAAGCTTGAGTCAAATTCCTTTATTTGAATTGTAGTGTAGACATCTTTGTTTCTTCATGCATTCTTTTTTCCCTTAATTGTCCTCCCTTGTGGGGGGAGGGGAAGGAGGGGGTATACCATATGCGTTTATATTTTCATGTGATGCCAAAGTGCACTAAGGGTGCGTTTATGCTCAATTTTGAAGGCAGACTTGAAACAATTTGAAACGCTCCTCGTAAACGCTCATCGTTATCGCAGTTCCATGGTGTACTGTTTATGCTCAGTTCTCTGGCTCCTCCAGGCATGATTCTGGCTCTGCAGCTGGATTCGCAAACCTGCACTGCGCATGCTACATTGACCCCATTCAAACACGTTTACAAATGGTTGTGCGTTTATGCTTCTCCAGAATCAGCGATCCAAAACGCACCTTTTTGTGAGTTTACGATCAGCGATTTCCTGTGATTCTACAAAAATGAGAAAGAATGCAACCGTGTTTTGAACTAAACACGTAACAAATGCCTCATTCTGGCCAGAAAAGGTTGAGCATAAACGCACCCTTAGATGGTACTTGCATATCCATGTGTATCCAAGCACCTTGAGATGCTCCCCATGGAGAGGTCTCTTAATCACACGCCGCTTTTAATTATTTATGCAGATTTCGGTACGTTTTCAGTTGCCCGAGCCAAATCACTTTATATATAAATCGGTTGTTTTGAAGTGGATAGTAATTGTGAAAACACATGTTCATGAAATGCTTCTTGAATTATGAATAAATCTCCTAGCTAGTGGTTTTGAATGAAGGGTACTAAAAATGACTTGTAAAAATGCTAGCATTGATAACACATCAATTTGTTTTTGTGTTTTTTCTCTTTCAAGACATGAATGAAGTATAATTGCCAGCTTCTCCCCTCCTCCCCCCCCCCCCCCTTCTGCATTTCTCTTTCTCTCTCTCCATCTCTCTCTCTCCATCTCTCTCTCTCTCTCTCTCTCTCTCTCGTCTCTTTTCTCTGTCTTCTCTCTCTTTCTCTCTCTCTGTATCTCCCCTCTCTCCCTCTTTCTGTCATTCTTCCTCTGTATTTCTTTTTTCTCTTGTTCATAGATACTCTTGGTATGTACACTTTGTTTTCTTCCCTTTTCTTTTTGTCTACATTATGTCTCTGGGATACCTCTCTCCCCCAATCCCCAATCCCCAATTTACCTCTTGCAAGTTTATCCCTCCTGCCATACTCCCTGTCCTTCTTGCCTCTCTCTCTCTCTCCCCCTCTCTCTCTCTCTCTTTCTCTCTCTTCTCTGTCTCTGTCTTCTCTGTCTCTCTTCTTTGCCTTCTCTCTCTCTCTCTGTTTATCTCCCCTCTCTCCCTCTGCATATCTTGTTCTCTTGTTCATAGATACTCTTTTTATGTACACTTTTTTTCCTTCTACGTTTATGTCTCTTCTTGTATGTCTCTGGCACATCTCTCTTCCCCTATCCCAATTTATCTCTTTCTGCCATACTCCCCGCCCTTCTTGCCTCCCTCTTACCCTATTCATTTCCCTCTCTGTCTTCTTCCTCATCTCCCTTTTTTACCCCCATACCCATCCTCGTTCATCTTTACTTACCATCATCCGAGACCCGTAAGTGCGCTGTCTCTGCGTAAGGGCACCATAAGACGTCTAGGTTGTATAGTGTTAGCGCCCTTCTGGCTCACAGCGGAGGACAGAGTCTTGTTATGCCTAAAAACATGTTATGTTTGGGCAGGTGTTACAAGTCGAGGACCCATTATCAAGCCAAGAAGTGTTGTGGAAGGAATCTGAACCTTAATATAGAATACACTGTGTATTTGGGCCTTTGAGGATAGAGTTTAGGAGCTCATTCACACCGAAAGAAACGTGTTTTAAAGGAACTTATCGTTGAACCAAATTGAAAGAAGATCACAGGCTACATTTGTGGAAACAATCTTAACTTTAATATAGAATACACTGTGTATTGCTCCTTTGAGGTTAGAGTTAAGGAGCTCATTCACACGAAAGAAACGTGTTTTAAAGGAACTCGTATGTGAACCATATTGAAAGAAGATCACAGGGTAGAGTTGTGGAAACAATCTTAACCTTTATATAGAATGTATCGAGCCCGCAGTTTGAGAGTTAACGAGCTCACTCACACACAAAAAAGGTGTTTAAATGAACCTCATATGTGAACCATATTGAAAGAAGGTAACAGGGTACAGAGACGTGATTCTTGAGAAAAATTATGAATATATCATGGACAGATAAGATTACAGATTGAAGAAATGTTCAGAAAATTAATCGCTCATCAACACAATAAGTAACAGGCAAATGCAATGTGTTGGTCACAATTACAGAAAGGGTAATCTAGTAAAAACAATATTAGCGGGGAAGATTACTGGAGAGAGAAGCGGGGAAAGGCAATGCCTAACATATCTGCAAAGTCTGAAGAAACGGGCAACCAAAAATGAATTCAGCAATACCAGATTTTTAAAGAATAACAGATAATATACAGAAATGGAAGGCCATGACCACAAATTAGCAACACTGACGTTTCTTTCGAGCTCCTCTTCGATTAGCCTATTTTGGCAAACTACTCAAAGGTTGCATGTTAATGGTGGGTACCTCTATACTTGGTGCCATTGTTAGATATTAGAGGTCATGGTGTTCTAAATACATGTGTTTTCTCAGTTTAACTGATGAGGTTTGTCTGACTTTGTTTTTCATGGGTCGATAGTTTCCGCTTCTAATGGTAATGTAAAGAAGAAAACAAGTCTATTTTAAACGAGGGATATATATATATATATATATATATATATATATATATATATATATACTCGAGAGGGAGGCTAAGTCTGTTTACTTGTAATTTAATATTTTTAACATGTTTCTTTGGTATCTCTCAGTTTTCCTTCCTTTTCCTTTCTTCTTTTTCTTGCACTTAGAAACATTAGTATTAAGCGCTTTAGAGATATAATGTATTATTATTATTGTTATCTATGCAAAAAATCCTACTTTATAGACTGAACTGAGCTAAAAATTTGCTTCAATAGTTGGTTTTTAACCCATGTGAGGTAAATGGGTACCTCCAATCTCTTTGGAAGCGCATAGAGATGTTATTTCATAATGTATTATGTGCTATACAAGAACTTATTATTATTATTATTATTATTACACTTAAAAACATTCAATTTTTGTAAAATTTGTTGGATTAGATTACTATTTTTTGCTGACTGAAAATGTAATTTTATCATAGCTTTAAAATTTTAAAACATTACTCATATTTGTTATTCGTGGATAAGGTGTTCATTTTTGTCTTAATGTTAACATGTCAGTTCTTCCAGTGTGGCAAGATGCTAATGTAAACATTACATATAAACTTGCCAGAAAAGTTATAATTCTCTCTATTTTCCTCTTGCAGGATTCTCCAAGTAAACGGTTTGGTCGAGTTTCCCTCTGAGCCTCTCCGCATGGTGTCCCACAGCCTTAAATCCATGTAAGTATACCAGCCTTGTCTGATTAATAGTTAATACACTGCATTGGCGTAGGGAAAGATGGGGTGGAGGGCTAGTGGGGCTCCAGCCCCCTGCGGATTTCAAACCAATACTGCAGATTCAACGACATGCCCGCATTGCATCATATTCAGACAGGAGGTGCCCAGATATGTAATTTCAGCCATTTCACTTCAAAAATTGTCAAACATTTCAATTTGTAAATGAAAGAGTTTATATTTGAGGAAAAGGTGCCCCTCATGAAAATGTGCCCAAACATCACCTTCCATTGCCTATTTGCCTTTCTTTTTACATGTACATGTATAATGGCACTAAGCCGAATCCTAACCCTACCCCTAATCCTAACTCTAACCCTACCCCAATGCTGAACTAAAACCAAATTGCAACCCGTAACCTTACCCCAAACTTTTGACAAAATAAATCCCAAAATAATTGACGCCAGTGAAGATGTTGGGTCGCCCGTCAAATCCTTGTGCGTGGGATGTTAATTAAGATGTAGGAGGAGGATCGCCCCAAAATATCTGTTGTCAGCTTTATCATCCTGTAACCTATTTCGTGATTGACTCAGTGGTGCTGCACATCAGTCATTTTAATTTGTTTCGTGTTCCTCATATCTGACAGCAATTACGGGAATAATCAATAGGATTTGCTCCGGTTTGGATTCATTTTCACACCAACGCAGAAAGAAACCGCAGAGAGAATTGGCTCAATTACATTGGGATATAGACCATGAAGTATAGCATTGTGTTGTTCAAAAGAAGGGCATTGGAATGAGTGAGGGTTACTGATTAATGGGTAAGGGAAAAGCAGAAGATTAGACCTTGATATTAGGTGTGCTATTGTATGATAAAGTGCATTAGGAAAGAGGAGAATATACATTTGGAACATGAGAGAGAGAGAGAGAAAGAGAGACAGAAAGATAGAGACCGAAGGGAGACAGACAGACATACTGAGTGAGAAAGAATGAGAGGGGGAAATGTATGTGTGTGTGTCTGTGTGTGAGAGAGAGAGTGGGACAGAGGGGAGAGGGAAAGAGAGAGAGAGAGAAAGAGAGAGAGTAGGACATAGGGGAGAGGGAAAGAGAGAGAGAGGGGGACATAGGGGAGAGGGAGAAAGAGAGAGAGAGAGAGTAGGACATGGGAGAGGGAGAAAGAGAGAGAGAGAGAGAGAGAGAGTAGGACATAGGGGAGAGGGAGAAAGAGAGAGAGAGAAAGAGAGAGTAGGACATAGGGGAGAGGGAAAGAGAGAGAGAGAAAGAGAGAGTAGGACATAGGGGAGAGGGAAAGAGAGAGAGAGAAAGAGAGAGTAGGACATAGGGGAGAGGGAAAGAGAGAGAGAGAAAGAGAGAGTAGGACATAGGGGAGAGGGAAAGAGAGAGTAGGACATAGGGGAGAGGGAAAGAGAGAGAGAGAAAGAGAGAGTAGGACATAGGGGAGAGGGAAAGAGAGAGAGAGTAGGACATAGGGGAGAGGGAGAGAGAGAGAGAGAAAGAGAGGGCAGGGTAAAAAGGTGAGAAAGAGAGAGACAAAACGAGATATAAGAGAGAGATAAAAAATATAAAAATAAGAAAGAGAAAGAGGGGGAGAGAGAGAGATCTAAAATTACATGACAGTAAAACAATAAATAGATTGTTACAAATTGCCTACGCACGTCTAGTTGATTGCAACACTTTAAAGATAAATTTCAGGTATGATCATGCAATTGTATTCTGTAAAGAAACTGAAAGCAAATGGAAAAGATTGTACTTTATCAGAATTAGGGTATACTGTGAGCCTGTGAGGTTTCGCAATCATCAAATCAATCAACATCTGGCACGAATGTTTGGTCCAAACAATTTAGTTCTTTCATGTCATACGTGGATATCAAATATGATGACTTGAAGAGCAATTTTTTTTTCAGGGGACATTTTTATGAAGGCCTTCTTCAAAAATGACAACTCAAAGAACAAAAAAATAGGTTGCAATTTATATTTCACTGCCACCAGGGCCCCATTTCACAGAACTTGTCATCAGTGACAAATGACAGTTTTTGTTAGAAGCTAGTGAAATCCTTGCTTCTGATTGGTTATCAACAGATTTGTCACTGACTTTTGTCATTTGTCGTTGAAAAAAAGGCTTTGGGAAACGGGTCCCAGAACTCTACTTTCTATTTGAGTGTGTGTGTTTTTGTGTGTGTGACAATCAGCACATGAGGCGAATCAAGGGTTAAAGATAAAGACCAGTTATGATCATGCGATTGCATTGTGAAAGAAACGTGAAATCCATCAGAAAAGGTTGATCATCTAGCATAGATGTACTGCAAGGTTCTGGAATCATCAAAATGATAAGAAATTTGGCCAAGTCTTCATGAAGTTACAAGTACTGTACACAGAAAGATGTTATGGGACTACGCACACCTGCACGACACATGCGTTTTTATCTCTCACACACCAATAGATAAACTAATTTACCAAATATATCAATTAGTAGGCGGTTTCCCGGCAAAATTGTTATCATCATGTATTAGTCAAAACATATTCTTTCACATGATTGGTAATAAGAGCTTCCATTTCATTTTTTGAGAGGGGGGCGTTTCCAAAACTGGTCTTTACCTTTAAGTAGGTTCAAACTTCTGTGATTGACAGGGAATGTTGCAAAGGCATGTGACTGCATGGATTAAATGAGATCATTTCTTGGTACTAGCAACAAGTCGAGGTGTTGATTGGACCTTTAGGGTGTTGGATTAGTGTCACTCTATTTCTGTCTCTATTCCATATTTATGGAATGACTGAAACGTCCTGAGAGAGAGAGGATGAGAAGGAGAGTCATTCAGAAAGTGCTTGCGGGTGCAGATTGGGGGAGGGGGAGGGAGAGGGAGAAAAGAGAAAGAGAAGGAGAGAGGGGGAGGGAAGGGGAGAGAGGGGGAGGAAAATGGGTAATTGGAAGATGAAGTAAGAGAGGGGGGCGGGAGATCAGAAGGAGAGAGACAAAGATACATATTTATGGAATGACTGAGCCGTCCTGAGAGAGAGGATGAGAAGGAGAGTCATTCAAAAGTGCTTGCGGGTGCAGATGAGAGGAGAGGGAGGGAGAGGGTAAAGACCGAGAAAGAGAAGGAGAGAGAGGGAGGGGAGGGAAATGGGTAACAGGGAAATGAAGTGAGGTGAGGGGGGGGGGAGAGGGTTTTAGGTTTTGCATGAAAGAGACGGAGAGAGACAGAGAGAAGGAGAGAGGGGGAGATGGGAGGAAAATGGGTAATAGGAAGATGAAGGGAGGAGAGGGGGGCAGGAGATCAAAGGGAGAGAGACTGTGAGACAGAGAGACAGAGAGAGGGAGAGCGGGTGGAAAATGGGTAACGGGAAGATGAAGGGAGGAGATCGGGTGATCAGAGGGAGAGAGACAGAGAGAGGAGGAGGGAAAGGGAGAGAGACAGAGAGAGGGGAGGGAAATGAGTAATAGGAAGATGAATGGAGGAGAGACAGAGGGGGAGGAGAAAGAGAAGGAGAGATTTGGAGAACAAAGGAAGATGAGAGGAATAGGGGGAGATGTTTTGCAGATTTATGAAATTATGGAGCCGTTCTGAGAGAGACAAAGATAGAGAGAGGGTGCAGAGGAAAGTCACTCAGGTGATGCTGGGGTAGAGATGGGAGTAGGGTGTGTCTGTTACAGATCTGTAGTCAGGGAGATAGCATGAGTACCTGTATGAGAGGGAGAGTCAGAGAGAGAGAGAGAGAGAGAGAGAGAGGAAGAAAGTAGGATAGATAGTATGAATGCATTTATGAGAAGAGAGAGAGAGTGTGTGTGTGTGTGTGTGATTGAGAGAGAGAGTGAGATAGAGAGAGTATGAATGTCTTTGTGAGAAAGAGAAAAAGAGAGTGTGCGAGAGAGAGAGTGAGAGGGGCGAAAAGAAGTATACCATATTTAATGATATCAACAGAAAGGAAAGTGCAGAGGAAGAAATTTGTGGTTGAGAGGCATAGACATGTGGTTACGCCGCCGCCGAGGAGACAAAAACAAGGATGTGGCTTGACCTTAAAAGGTCAAACCACCCTCAAAATAGAAGACACACAATATCCATCTTAATACCTCCCAGTGGGTTCATATCTTGAGTAGATATACAGTTTGATATATGTTGTAGCACTTTCCTATCTTAAAGATAAAGTTGAGTTCAGTGGGTGTTTCACAAAGATCCTAAGTTTAACTTATCTCTATGTTGGACTTAAATATTATGGAGAGCCATTTGTAGCCTTATAATGGAATATAATCAGAATAAAAAATTCAAGTATTTTAGACTTTTTATAAATTCCACATCAAGAACATGAAATCTCTATGATAATAGAAAATATGAATGATTGGAATAAACATGTTATGCCATTTGAAATAACTTTTACAAAATATGTTCATACATGCTAACGGCTTTCCATAATTGTTTAGTCAAATTTATGAAAGCATTTGAAGAACCATGCTTTTCAGGGAACATTTATTATCTGATGTTCTTCCATACTTGCATAATTACAATGATAACGCTCACAAATTATTTTCCACCTCTTCCCAGAACCCAACCTTCTCTTTAAATCGGCAATTCTGACATGTTTCTAGACGACCTCAAGTTTCCACTGTTTCTCTACTAATATATATTGGTTAGGGAGGTCTTTTGTTTCATGTGCTCCCCTGATCGATAAGTTCCCTTGATTAAGTTCTTGATAATGGAATCTGATACAGACTGCTGCAGAGATTATGTAAGAGGCAATTGTAATAAGACCTTGATTGGTGGATTGCCACAGGTGTATGATGCAATTATCATTCTTATACATTTCCTCTTTTTTCCGTTTGAGTATTCGCGCAGGGGTTATCAATATCCAGGATTAGCCTTCAGTCTGGTGACCAACAGGCCTTATGTAATGTTCTGCATTTTCCACCAATTGCCCCATAGGAAAAGTGATTGCCTGATATACATCCCTCACCCAAAGACTCTTTGAGGGACTACGGGTATCTTTTGATGGGAC